CAAGCATCTTTTTTTTTTTTTTTGTTAACTTCAGAGGAGTTGTGTGTACAATGCAAATATTTTTAACCAAATAATTTTGCAAATGAGCAAAAACAAGGTAAGTAAATTTCACGAGTTCAATTTTTATTGAACAAGCAGCTGTAAATGATATCGAAAAACTCGAACTTTAATTTATCGTGGGGAATGGTTGTGTATTAAGTTGAAAAATTATAATTTTTTAGTTTTAATTTGATTTGATGCTGCTTATATCTTAGAGGAGTATAGAAAAAAGGCTTGGTTGATCATATATTTAAACCCGCTATGTATGTTTGTAAGGATTATATTTTTAAAGTACCATGACTTCATCCCGATGAGTTCGGTATAACCTTGTTGCAAGGCGTTGCGGTTCTAGAGTCGTAATTAAACAACAATGGATTTAATCCCACTGTTCGACCTGGGAATTGATCAATTAACTTAGACTTTATAATCCGCCCTAAGTTCTTGGTATACGAAGGTCCTACAAGGACAAAAGATGGCGTTCTTACATGATTGAAAAAAAAATAATGATGGGATTCACAGCAAATGGTTAGAGTGTCTGTTCTAGAGTCGTAAGGAGTCGATCCTTACGTCGCGGGTTCGGATCCCACTGTAGGACGTGGAGACCAGTCCTTCGGATGAGACCGTATAAACCGAGGTCCCGTGTCTTAGGAGGCGCTGGCACGAAAAAGATCTCTCCCTGCTCAATGACCTTAGTGCTGAGTATAAGACAAAACTAGCAGCTCTTCTCCGGCAAGTGATGGCGTCTCCATAAGAGTGAAAAAACTCTCAAGAGGGACGTTAAACAATATACAATCAATCAATCATAGCAAAGTATACATATATTATTACGTAAAGTATATATAAATTCTTGAAACGAATGTTGGAAAATATGTACTGCAAGTGTTTCCCACCATAAACCTACGGAATGAAAGATGGATTTTGTGAGGGTTAACAAGCGCCGAGATATTGAATAACCATTTTGTATCTTTTAATTGGTCTCTGATTACTGACTATACATGGTACAGTAGAAGCTTTTTATGTCGATTGGAGAGGAAGACAGAAAAAAAAAAACGGACAGCGACTCGAAATGTCTGTTAAGAGAAGACCACTATATCCTTAATTAAAATCTTGCAGCTCAGTGCCCTGGCATGGCGGAGAAGCTGCCTCAAGATAATTTACGAAATCATGAAATTGAAGAAAATAATTATTGGCTGGAAATTACAGTTGAGTGGAAAAACAGGCTTTCAAGCGAATAATTACCAGCATAAAACAATACATTTTACATGTAATTTTACCTTGGTTAAATGGTCGATATATGGAGGTCATTTCTGAGACTAGTGTACTTCTATAAAATATCTACTCCGTTTTATGTTCGACAAGATACATGTACAATTTGTTCTTAATTTTGATGAAGTAACTAATCATTAAGTTTAGCTGAACAAAAATATTTTTTGTAGAGTAGATGAATTTGTTCACAATCTGTCTCAACATCTGCAGATTCATTAGCCCATTAGATCACCTGCTCTCTCTCTCTCTCTCTCTCTCTCTCTCTCTCTCTCTCTCTGTGTGTGTATGTGTGTGTGTGTGTGTGTGTGTGTGTGTGTGTGTGTGTGTGTAATTACATTGCTAGCCTTTCTTTTAACCAGAACACTTTTTAATAGAAAGTCCTTCGCCCAGTAGGACTGTCCACTATAGATCAATATGCGGTATCGCTTCTCTGACCATTAAAAGCTTTCTGGAGTTTAAAGAAAACTTCAAGCCATCTAATTCCAGAGCTCAGCTATGCCCATCATAGAAATTCCATGAATTATCCGCTATTAAAAGAAGAAAATACAAGGGCTTTCGTGTTTACAGGGATCTAACTTTCCGGAAGCGGAAACACAAGGGAGCTGAAAGGCAAGCATCAATGTATTTTCCCTTGTCCACTTATCATTAAAGACCGTTTATTTCTTGTGTTTGATCGTTATCAAACATCATAATAATGACAGTACATGATCGGTGACGGATCCAGGGTTTCCAGAGTTTGGGGTGTGTGATTTCTTACATCCTCCAACAATATAGCACAATATTACATATACATTGTATGCATTGCTTGGTTTGGTTATAAATATGATTTTTGGAAAGATCATATAAGCACTCTGATTCTTTAGATAAAGACAGACTTGTAGAAAACATTTTTTTTACATCATGGGCACAACAAAGAATTCATATTTCAGTAAAAGAGGGGATCATGTACATATATTAAACAAGCAAAAAATTGTTTACAAGATTAAAAAGGTCATCAGAGCTAATAATGATCTTTCTATGCTGAAACCTTTGTTTAAAAGGGATGACTTAAAGATCTATTGATTAAATAAAATTGTGGTGTGGCATTCCTCCTAAGAGGCATGGTCAGTAGCTGATTTCCAAGGCCGTAACTAGGTTCGGATTTTTATAATGATTGAGAGAAGGGTTCAGGGAGGGGTGGGTCGTAGTTCTTGACCGAGGTGGGGGGGGGGGGGTCGAAACCTTGATTTTATAAATTAAAGACTTAATTTTTTAGAGTTTTAAAATACTTTGAACTATTATTAATTAAATGTGTTACAACTATATAATGAAGCTTCTGACGATTTACAGAAATTTAAACAAATATTGAAATAATTTACTAAGGACAAAGTTGTTACAGTTCAAAGTAAAACTTTCACTTTTCGGAGAACTTAAAAATTTAACTTAGGTATTTGTCTCACTTGCCTCAGTGGTATAGTTACAACCGTATGTTCTTTAACATATGATTCTCTGTTATCTCTGCTTCCGTTGACGAAGAGAGATCAAATAAATTGTCAGTAATATTTTCGAACGCATTGATTGTAAAAGATTTGGATAAAATTTAGCATGAGATGGAATGTCGTTCTATTGAATTCGCCTATAATAAATATCATGTATCATTATATCTGTTTTCAATTTTCGTCAGAGAGCATGTCCGCTTCTGCAAATTTTTGTGATTAAGTCATCTTCTAGTAAGAGCTTTCAAACAAATATTTTAAAAAATCAAACAAAAGTGAAGTGATTTGGACGCATTGGTTGGAGATGATTGTGTATGATCTTCTTCCTGGATTGCTTGCTCTGGGAAGATTTATAATACCAGTTTCTCCTATTGTAACAAGCAATTACCAGGGCCTCGTAAATTTTCTGTTATTGAACATGGATAAAAACGACAGCTGCACCGAGGGATTATTGGTCGTTGAGGGTAAATTACAACCGTTTAAGTAAATCTTTTCTTTTGCGGCACCTGTTTTCTCTTATCGAATATTTGGACACAAAATATTTTTCGAAAGTTTCAGATTTTCTTTATTTGATTTGGACATAAGTCTTCTTTAACGACAGTTGCTTAACTAATGAATTTTATGTCAATTTAAGGACTTTGGATATTAAAGAATTTAAGAGAAGATTTGTAAAAATTGTTTGCACGTGTTTTATTGTTTCTAAAGCACGTATACATCAATATTATACAAATATTATTGCTTTTGAGATCAATACGATAATTCAGCCACCTGCTGAATAAACTATACACCGAGCCCAAAAGGCGAGGTGATTGTTGTACTATATGTACACCGAGGGTGAATAAATCATCACATTGACTGAAAAAACTGCAATAATTATTTCATTTTATGATAATCAAGCCCATTAAGCAGACCATTTCATCTTGTTTTCATTTGCTGAAAACTAGAGAGGGAAACAAGATTAAAGTAAACATAACCAGTTGTATTAATTAATATTTTTAAATCAGTTTTTTGATTCCATGCAGAAAAAAATCAGGCATGAGGCATCGATTTTGATAGGGGAGGGGCATTATTAAGGGGAAAATACGTTCAGAAATCTTTTTTACCCCCCTCCTTCTCTTCAGTCTTTAAATGCAGGTGAAATAACTTTTCAGAACTAACTTATCAATTTCGAAGTGCTCAAACTTTCTTACGCAAAAGTAAAAAAAATATGTATCCTTATGTTCACCTTGAAGGTCAAGTGAACATATTATACTAGACTTCATAATATACAATATCCGGATTAAACACGTTTCACTGTACAATGTGTAATGTTTTTTAACTGTAGAAAAAAACCCTTACATTTTCGGATACTGCATGCCCTTGAAAAGTTAACTGAGTGCAATATCCCTGTTTTGCGTGCTTCATATAAAATCGAACATTATCGTTTACGTCAAAATTGAACACAATGTACATGTATTATAAAGACTTGGATTAACGAAACAGAAACAATATGTAACATCGCCATTGACGCAAATCAAAATTAATTTTTAAAAATTAGAAAACGTACTTCTACTGAGAGAAAAAGTTAGTGTGTCGTGTTTCATTCAAACAAATTTATCTGAAGGGAAAAGTTTTACGCCATTATATCTCATGTAACGTTAAGAAATATATTAAATTCTTTACACCGAGATATAAAGTCGGTCTGGCATACTTGGAGTCGCAAGTGGATGCCATGATGACAGAACTTTGAAGTGTGTAATTGATAAATATTTTGGTAGCCTTAAATACACGCTATCCTGTCAAAAGTCAAGATAAAGTCGCTTGTAAACACTGCAAGCTTGGTAGTTCTCTGTGCTTTTGAAATCTTATCTCAAGGTATAATATGTACATTCAAATAGGATTTCATGTTAATTACAATTCTAAAATGTCCAACCCTAGCTCTTCAGCTGAAGTAGGACATTGGCACTGGACGAACATATGATGTATCGTGGCCATTGACATCACGCATATAATCAATTCCTTGAACGTGTTAATTAATCAAGATTTCAAATATGAACCTAAAAATAAGGAGAGAGAGAGAAAGACAGAGGGAGAAAGCGAGTCAGAGGGAAAGAAAGATTTTCGGATTTTAAAAAAGTTAAGACAGATAAAATTCACAAGAAAATGAATTAGTAAATTTTACATTAAAAAAATGATAGATAATAAATTAAAATTGATAACAAAAAAATTTCAATCGATTACCTGGAATGGCACCCGTACTTGTTATTCTGGACTTTCCATCATATATAATTTCCTTTTGGTGACGAAATATTCTAAGAAAACCAGGTAAAGATATATTCACAGCTATTAAAATTCGACTTAATTGTAGCTGGTGGAACTTTCCGACTGTTGAACGAAAAAGTCTTATCGATTTGTAAAGAACTGATCACTTTCTCTGCTATCACACGGGGTTTCTTTTATGCTGAGCTTTATAAAAGCCCCCAGTGTTTACCCTGCCTTCGGCCAAATCACTCCGCGCTTCCATGTTAAAAGTTTTTAGTTTCCGATTAAATTGAAAAATTTTTTTGTTAATTTCTTTTTTGCAAATAATTTATTTTTCAGATAAGAGTCGGGTTGGTTGTTACAATAACTATGTCTGGAGAAATACTAGTGATTAAATATTGACATTACAGGTGCCCGGTGTGAGTTTTCCTTTATCAGTATTTACATATTTACCGACAAAATACATACTTATCCCAGTCTTATAAAAGTGAACAGAAAAATCGTCTGGGTACTGATTTAAGAGTGCACAAATAATCAATTTGTTTGTTTATGCTGAAAATCATTATGACACGTGTCAATATAATTTTTAAGGAGCATGTTACGTTCATCTAACTTTTTATCGTTTTCCCCCTCTTAATTTTGTGCACATAAAATTTAAAGGGTTCATAATAAATCTTTTATTTATAGCCAATTGTGCTCAAAGAGCATAATATTAATTTTCTTATCTTAATCGGAACAACATGAGCATTTGATTCCCCAGTACTAGAATTATATACCCATTAAGTACTGGTTTACTATACTTACTTACATATACATTACAAGTTTAGTACACTGTACTTTATCTACTGGAGTTAAGAGCCAATGAAAAATGATCCATTCTTAATATTCAACAAATTTAATAGCATGTTTGCAAACTTTCATGAAAATCTATTTCAAACAGTTAAATTTTTTTTTTCGTATTGTTCAATATATATGCAATATCAAATGCATTTTTTCAATATTCTTTTTGCAAGCAGTGTCTTTGATATGTATCATTCTACGCGTTTGTGGATTTTTTTTTTTGTACACATTGAATAACCTTCTGCATAGAACATGTTGAACATATCTTAATTTACAGCCACTCACTATCAGTGTATTTATTTACCTTGTGACATATGCGACTATCAACGCATTTTTATCTTCACGCAGAGGTTGTTTCACAATGTAGCCAACAACTTATTTGCGGCGTGATAAATGGAAAATGTTCTTATTTTGTCATCATTTTACTTTGTATTTTCATTAAAATTGTTGTTTGAAAGTTTACCGATGTCTACGACACGCAAAATTCACAAAAATGAGCTAAACGTAGTTTCACAGTTGATAAACTAGTTTTATCGACTGTAAACAATAGTTTACAAACCGTTAAAATAGTTAACATTTCGTTAAGTATAGTTTTCATCTTTAAAGCTATGATTAACGGTCGTTTACTATTGTTTACGAATGCTTATCTAAGTTTATCTGTCCGTAATTAAACGTTACAATAGATTTTGTAGCTAAAAATAGATTCACGTCTATGAACTATAATTTACAATCGTAAACTATAGTTAAGTGTTGTAAATTATAGTTTCACAAATCGTAAAACTATATTCATCGGATCATTAACTATAGTTATTAGCTGTAAACCATAGTTTACAAATCGTGAAACTGTATTTATCAGATAATCTATGTTTTGCAATCGCAAATGATTATTTTCAGTGTTAAGTGTAGTTTACGGTTCTGAAACATAGATTATCGACTTAACTATTGTTTACAATATATATTAACGTTGTTAACTATAGTTTACAGTCCATAAACTATAGTTTACAACCGATAAACCTTACAGTTTATCCACTATGAAACTACATGTATGTTCAGCTCATTTTTGTGAATTTGGCGTGTCATAGATGTCTCATACCTTAATTATGCAATTGTCTTAGAAGAGGCTTAAATTCAATTTTTACGTAATATACACGCATACACGTGTACATGTTTCACAGAAAGTGTGTAGAATAAATAATTTTTTGTTTAATTTAAGGGTGACCTTTTATCTTGACATGCTTAGCGTTTTATCCATTTCTTGGCCACCCCGCCCCACACGAACCTTGTAAGTTATCTGTTTTTCTTAAACTTTACCACATCAAATTGACAAAGAATAGCAATTTTGATTTCAAGAGGCGGGGTGCCTTTACAAAGATCACTGAGAATATACACATTAAATTCAGGAGTGATAAAAATGATATCTTCTTGCCAAAGAAGTGATAATTACAGATCAAATGAAAGCTTTCTTAAAATTGTGTGAACAAGAAGTTTATAATCTTAATATAAACATATATAAATTGTACAAATATATAAGTATTTGATGTTTTGTAATTAAAAAGAATACTTATGTATTTTTTTTTAAAACTTGATTTTTTCCTCACTCATGTCTTTGATCCTTTGCCATGCCAAAACTGTATGTGTATGTGTATGTGTGAGGGGGAGGGGTGGTGTTGTGGTTGTTACAACATACATTATGTAACATCTTTATTTACACAGGTTATTCTAGATAGAATGTTCTATCGTTAAAAATGATCAATTTCCTAGGGTCCCGGTTTAACGATAGAATTCGTTACGTGTATTCTCAATGTAGCAAAATAAACATAGGCGATAACTTGTACTCAATGCATTTCAAATGAACAATCAAGAGAGTTCCGAATTTAAACATGGCAGGTAAATTCGAAGCGAGAAAAACCGTTGAGAAAAATAAGTTGAATTTTCGTCTTTCTGTGAATTATTTTTTTGGGAAAAAAGGCATATACAATCTCAAAAAGGTTGTTACAATTAATTTGGAATTTATTTTCAGTGCAAATCCTTTTTAATTCTTCAAAATCGTTTCGGAGCGATTGCTACATTGCGAGCATATGGGAGGTATTCAAACTGTGGTGAGGGCTTGTCCCGAGACACACCTAGATTATTCTAACTAAGGTTATTCGTAATATAGCTTTGAATATAAAAAAAGTTATTAACACATATATTAAAACAACTCTGCTTGAAATTAAACTTGATGAATCCGAGTAAACTCTAGGCGCTATCAGTATTAATTATCATATTAAGTTTTAAGCATGTGTAAAAAACATGTATCATATGAAAAAATGACATATTCACCCCAAGTATTGTCGCCTCTCCGTATACAATGTCGCTGGCGATAATGTATGGATTGACTGAAAAGGCGACAATCATGCAGCACATAAGTGTAATATTACGAAAGCCTATTTTGATCAATCTAGAGAGAAAAAAAATTAAAAGGCGTTATAACGCCTTTCGAAAAGGCGTAATAACGCGAAAAAAGGCGTAATAAAATGCGTTATTACGCCTTTCCATTCCAAAAGGCATTATTACGCCTTTCTAAAAGGCGTTATTACGCCTTTCCATTCTAAAAGGCGTTATTACGCCTTTCCAAAAGGCGTTATTATGCCTTTTTAAAAGGCGTTATTACGCCTTTATAAAAGGCGTTATTACGCCTTTCCAAAAGGCGTTATTACGTCTTTTATTTTCAATATACGACAAAACATATTTAGCCCAAGCAAGTGGTGGTGGTGGTGGGGGGGGGGGGGCAGAAAAATCTTACATTTGGGACATGAATTTCACAATTTGATATAGGACTAATTTCTCAAAAAATAATTTAAACAGATAGCAAATAGTCTGCCTGCTTTTTTCCGAGGAGAGAGAAAAATATCTTTAAATGACATGAATTTTAATTTATGGCAAGCAAAGCTCCAAGATACATCTGCCTACTAGTATATCATATCTTCACAAGTAGAGTGTTGCCTTCTCTTAATACGAATGCAAACAGTTGTCAGTGAGATGTGCAGGAATATAGGGAATTGCTTAAATAAAGATTGTTTTAATTAAATCTTTCATATATTTATTAACATAAAAATAACGCCTTTCCATTTTCCTTTTCAAGTAGGCCAGTAGTACGAGTGCAAATGCGGTAACCACCCCCCCCCTCCACACATTCACACTTTTCGAGGGAAAGTCTTAAAACATTTTAAATATTATAATTAACTGTTGGTTGTTTGGTTCCTGAACATTTTGTTGCGGTGTGTAAAACTGTTTACCGAGAAGTCACCAAGGAGTTTGGCCAGTAGAGTGGGGGTGGTGGTGGTTGGGGGGGGGGGGGAGGCTTTAGAATCACAGGCTTGTTAGATGCAAAAAAATAGTTTTTAAAAAAGCGTGATAACCCTTTTAGAAAGGCATAATAACGCCTTTTAGAAAGGCGTTATAACGCCTTTTAAAAAGGTGTAATAACGCCTTTTAAAAGGCGTAATAACGCCTTTTGGAAAGGCATAATAACGCCTCTTGGAAAGGCGTAATAACACCTTTTAGAAAGGTGTAATAACGCTTTTAGAAACGCGTAATAACGCCTTCTGGAAAGGCGTAATCACGCATTTTGGAAAGGCGTCATAATGCCTTTTCAAAAGGCGTTATAACGCCTTTTAATTTTTTTTTCTCTTTAGAGTGATCCTCATAGGCTTTTGTATCATATTACGACTGAGTAAACTAAAAATTTTGATATAAAGCGTTTGGATCCGGTGGTATGTGTTATTTGGCGATGCAGATTTCTCCGCCTTCGTATCCTTCCGTGACAAAATATAGATAATCTTGCACAGCTCCTCTTTTGTTCAGGTTCACTCCCCCATCTCTTTTTTCCTTGAAGAGTTCAATTTGCTATATACGTCTTCTCCCTAAGAATTGGATTTAAAATATACAGACGATCTGGCTTTTTTATATTCTTTATTGCAACAAGCTTATATCGTACATTCAAACAACAAATCATTTGTTATTACAGGAGATGCTACTTAATTATACGATTTATTAAAGTTCATCAAATGTAGGCTTTGTAATCTTATAGCAGTAGCCCTAATAATTATTCTTCATAAACGGTATATATTTCTATATTTCTCCTTATTTCTCTACATTTTGTGTACATATATACAGGCAACGACCTTGACCAGGGACGTAGCTACGGGGGGGGGGGGGCGGGCCCCCCCACCACCACTTTTTTCCCCAACCTTACTTATACTATAGGATTTGGTAATTGAACGTCTGGTTGCCCCCCCCCCACCCACTATAAGTGATGTAGTGAAAATATAGTATAGGAATTGGTACTGAAAGTAGT